CTAATTAATTATAATAACATTATTAGGACCTTAAAATAATTATTTGGGCTATTATTATGAGTTATATTGAGTGTTATTTAACGCTTATATAATAATCATAATAATAATAGTTGGACTATTAATTAGTCGCGGTTAACGTCAGACTAAACCCTAGTCATATTGATACTATGTTGTGTCGAGGAAATTGTTTTAAGAGTAAAGAAATGTTGTCCGAGTGACGAGTCACCGCCTAATCAGGTGGGTACATAGTTACTTTCAGCTTACACATAGATATGAAGTATTTTATACGTGATGTATGTGCATATTATCAGTATACTTGCTATCTATGTTGGATGAACGATTTTATACACGTTTTAAATGATTTAAACAGTATATGTATTTTATATCTACAAAATGTGTTGGGTAAAACATAGGTAGATGAAATAGTTTCTGTGTGACAAAAAATAAAATAATGAAGAGATGATATAAACCATGAGGTAAGGGTGAGAGGTGAACCATGAGAGAATCCTTTTACCCAGGTGATGGCCCCATCATCCAGCAGAGTATGGATGACAACCATAGACTATTCGAGATAGTCCAGTGGACACTAGCAGGCTCACAACCTGTAGGTGTTTTGAACTGTGTATTCACCAAGTGTACTCTAAAAACCCATTGATATGTATTGCGAGTGGACTCTCGAAAACGATATTGTCAATAAAACCCTGGCAGATGCGCCTAAAGGACTCTACCGGAAGAACCGCCTAATAGAGAACCTCATGACCCCAACAGATCCACCTAAAAGGACTATTCCGGCAGATGCGCCCCACAGAGAATGTCACAATTTTGGCAATCGCGCCTAAGTGATAGAACTAGCAATTGTGCTTGACAGATGTGTCATTTACAACGATGGAATTCACACCTATTCCTTAGGATACTCCTTAGGAATGAATGAACAAGAAATAGTTGATTCTTAGGGTAGATAATTAAGAATAAAGAAGATAATAGGGATGGGTAATTGGGTTAACTGTTTGATGATTAAACATAATAATTATATTATTGTGGGTTGAAAACCCTATGTACTCACCAGGTTTCCCAACCTGACCCACTCAGTTTATTTATATCACAGGTGTTGATATGAAGTCACATTACACCGAGAGATTAAAGAGATGTAGATCACTAGTGTAAATAAATGTAAGTTTTGTTTATGCTTATGTTTCTGTATTGACGATGACATCCCAAACGTTTTAAAATGAATAAAATACGTTTCTTCGAAAATATTTTGATAATGTATTTATCGTGTTTTTACTGGGAACAAATTCCGCAACATTTTTATGAAAATAAGTACTCTGATTTTTATAAAGCATAAACAAAATCGGTCTTTTCTGGCCGTAAAAATGGGGATGTCACACAGATACTCCTCATGCTGCTTTCTAGACCTTGAATATATCAGAATTTCGTTAACAAACACAATCACCGAATGATCCAACATCGGTCTACACACCCGGTTCATGAGATCCATGAACGTTGTTGATGTGTTGGTGTGCCCAAAAGGCATCACTACGAACTCGTAATTCCCATAACGTGTCCTGAATGATGTCTTCTGGATATCGTCATCCTGCATTCTCATCTGATGACATCCAGACCTCTAATCTATCTTGGAGAACCAAGACGCTCCCTGCAACTGATCAAACAGATCATCGATCCTCGGTAGTGGATAACGATTATTGACCGTCAACTTGTTCAACTCCCGGTAAACAATGCACATCTGGTGTGAACCATCCTTTTTCTTGACAAAAAGGATTGGCGCTCCCTACGGCGAGCTGCTAGGTCGAATAAACCCCTTTCCAAGCAGCTCCTGAAGCTGCGAGGATAACTCCTGCATCTCTGGCGGCGCAAGGCGATAAGGCGCATTGGCGATAGGTGCTACTCCCGGAACCAAATCAAAGCAGAACTCCACCAGTCACTCAGGAGGCACACCCATCAACTCCTCGAGAAAAACATTCAGGAACTCACGCACTATCGGAACATCATCAATCGAACTTGGCCTCTCCACGACCACTAGTCTATCCATCACATAAGCTACAAACCCACTGCAGCCCTTCTGTAAACTCTGTCTCGCTTTAGCAGCCAAAGAAAATGCTGACCCACATCGGGTACCCTCGCCATACACTGTCAGCACTCACCCACTAGGGTCTCGTATCATCACTATCTGCCACTCGCAGTCTATAACCACCCCAAATCGGCTCAACCAATCCATGCCCACTATAACGCAAATGTCACCCATCGAAATCAGGACCAGATCTATTGGAAACTCAACGCTAAAGATCTCAAGTATACATCCTCGAATCATATCAGTAGCATACACCGCTCCCTCGTTAGCTATGGAAACTCGTAGAGGTTGACTCAACGCCTCTCGTCAAATATTGATGTGCTGACTAAATGCTAATGACACAAATGATCGACTCGCACCCAAGTCAAATAACACCAAAGTAGGCACAGAATTCACAAGAAAAGTACCTACACATATCATAAAATAAGCGCAATATCTCAACTCAGCATAAATAAATGAAAGAATACATACCAGCCACGACATCGGACGCTGCGCGGACCTCCTCCGCTGTCAACTGGAAGGCTCTCCCTCGTGCCTTCGGTGCTTCGGCCTTCACTGGCCGACCCTCACTAGCTCAAGCAATAGCAGGGGCAGATCCCTGCACTGATCCCAGTAACAGCTGCAGGCACTCGGCCTTCCGATGGCCCGTCTGGTTGTAATGAAAGCAAACCATAAAACCCTTGGGGAAGTCCTTGGCTATATGCCCCTCATTGCCACATTAGTAGCAAGCACCTGATCGACATACTCCATCATGCCCCTTGCCGCACTTCCTACAGGTACGGCCCTTCTTGCCTCCAAATCTCGAATCGGCAGGCTTGACCCGCTTGGCTTTCGGATGAGACTGTATCGGCCGCCTATCCTTCCCCTGAGACTTGGCCTCCTCCCTGGCCTGCGTATCCAACTCAATCTACCTCTTCTGGGCATTTTCCTAGAGCTCAACAAATGTTTAGTAAGTCGAGTTCCCCACGAACTCATAGATGTCCCTCCTCAAAATGCTTAAATACCAGCTCATGCGTGCCTGCTCAGACGACACGTGCTCAGGGCAAAACAACGCCCTCTCATGGAATATCCGTGTAATCACAGTCACTTACTCAGTTCCCTGCTTAAGCGATAAAAACTCCTATACCAATCGTTCCCTCTCTACCTGGGGAACATACTCGTCTCTGAACATGGTGGTGAACCTCTTCCAGGTCACCTCAGAAATCTCTGCAAGAGTGAAGTTCACTGTCACAAAATTCCACCTGTCCTTCGCTCCCAAGCGAAGCTGATTCAGTGCAAACCAAACCCTCAAATGCTCCAGACACGAACAAGTGTAGAAGCATCCCTCACTATCAGAAATCCATCTCATCGTAGCAATCAGATCCTGCGTCTCGTCAAACTCTGATGGCTTCATATTGTTGAACTCCCGGAACAACATCAAGTCACCCCCTGAGGTCGAGCAGCAGCCACAGCTGCAGTACCTGCAGCAGCCGTAGCCTCAGTAACCGCTACGTATCTCTCGTAAAACGTCTCAATCAAAGTGGTCTTGATAGACCCAAACATCTCTGGTAACTCTGCACGGATAGCCGCAGCCACCTCCCCGTGGATCATCTGTTGAAGCTCCTCGTCACTCACGCCGCTGCTCTCTGGTTTGTGGCGTGTCGCAACCATTATGTCTCTGAAATACAACATAAAAATATCATAGAATTTCTCGAGTGTACCCACACTCGACAACTCAACCATACTTGTTCCTTCGTATCCTAAGGATTCTGACTTGGACTGCACACTGATCTGGTGCTTCCATTAGTACAGGCCCTATACTACCTTCTACATCGCATCAACATTCATTCCAAGTCCTCCTCCTAGGATCCCAGATCACAAGTACTCTACTTCTTGCTAAGAACTGGCTACCCTTTGATAGGCCCCTCATAAGCTCCTCACTGCTACATATTCACTCTCAAGCATCTCATAGCAGCAGTAATCTCCTAGGCTAAGGCATCACAGATCAAGCCACTCTAGTCCTACTATGAATACCTAGCCTACTCTAGCATGCATAGCATATCATATCATATCTCATAACACATAACGTAAGGGTATTTTGGGAAATCATCGTTCGGACGCTGACTGATCGTACACACTACTTCCTTCTTAAATTCTTTTACTTTTTAGAAAAATTGTTTCTTTTATGAAAACTTTCTCAAATCCTCATTTTGAGTTCAGATACGCCCGAAGGTACATCCGAATCCCTCAAACAAAGGCTCTGATACAAACTTGTAACAAATTCAAAACAATTTTCACTACTAGAAAAAAGGCCTTTTACGACGCTCATTGCACGTCGTAAAACGCTCAGACGACGCGCAAATTCGTGTCAAGGAAGGCCCTGTCATAAAGAGAGATGACGCGCTTTTGCGTGTCGTCTATAGACGACGCGCATTTACGACGCGCATTTATGACGCACATTTACGACGCGCGGTTATGACACGCAATGCGTATCAAGGAAGGCCCTGTCATAAAGGAAGACGACATGCATTTGCGTGTCGTAACCTTACGACGCGCGTGTTTATGACACGCAATGCGTATCAAGGAAGCCCCTGTCAAGAAAGGCCATGTCATAAATAAAGATGACACACATTTTTGCGTATCATAATTTTAAATGTTTTAAAAAAATATTATTTATAGATTTACTAATTTTTCATATTAAATAATACATTATAAATCTCATAATAATAAATAAAATACCATAAATAACAAATATAATTCATTTCACTAATATGTCAAATACAAATAATTATTCCAATAGTGAGTAAATGTTATAAAAAAATGAACTCATTTATATACAATTGCATTAATTATCTAGCTTACTATGTGCCAACAAACTTCTATCTTTTTCCTTCTCTGCATAAACTTCATTAGCAGCATCCTAAAGAACCTCTATCTTTTTCATCAGCAACATCCTCAAAAACTTCTATCTTTTTCCTTCTCTGCATAAACTTCTATCTCACACTCAATGTAGTTTTAAACATCAGGTTTAAAAAATCAACTTTAAGGTTGCCTTGTTAAAGAGAATGACTAGAATAGATTTCCCTTTTTCACAAGGCATGTGCTTGCTTGCACATATATATGGAATCATTCTAACAAAAAAAAAATTGTTCATGTCAACTACTCCAAGGACTATTACGTAATCTAACATGAAGAATTTTGTCCAGATGAAAGGATTGACTTTAAACTTTATAAAAATCATTTAAATGAACTTACCTGACCATGAAGCGTGTTGATCCAGGATCTCCTTGCCTTCCTGCTCTGCCACGAAGCTTTGTAAAGCAAGAAATAAATTAAAAAAGTGAGTCTGAAAGTATATGCTAAATTTATGTAAAACCTTAAAACACAATACTGATGCAAAGTTACCTGATTATCAATTCTTCGGGACTCATGCAAAGATGTCCCAATGACATGGAGACCACCAAGTCGTTTGACTTCCAATCCTTCATGAAAGCAATGAATCTCACAGTCCTTTAGAACCGATAAATAGGCAATTGCAATGCAAGGACCCAGGGCCGATCCAAAGAAATATGTTGCCCGGGGCAATAAGACATAATGATGCTCTAATTATATATTTTCAGAAACTAATATCATAATTCATAAAATTTACCCTAGTTCACTGTTTTTCAATCATAACTCAGAAAAAAAAAACACTAATAATTTTAGAAAGTAAGAAAATTAATATAAAAAATCATAATATTTACCTCAGTACTTTGATAGGTAACAGTGAGAATGCAATGACATGTAGACTACTGATCCACCTTTAAACAATGCTTTAGGTACCTAGCTATCATCTAGAAAACAACAAAACAGACAAAAATTTACACTAATCCCATCACAAACAAAACCAGCTGCTATTATCACAAATAACAAATATAATATACTCCAGACAGTATGAAAATGTAGCAGCATCCAAACATATTATAAGATGAAAAAGTTAATAAGACGAAGAAGTAAGAAGTTCTGAAATAAAGAGAGAATATTATCTGTAGTGTAATATTCCAAATGGACTTGAAAAGTTCTTGTATCTTGACCATCTACCATTATCAAACCTGTCATTTTTATACCAAATTAAATTCAAAACCAAATTTTAGCTTGACCATCCATCATTATTCTGTCCCCTAAGAATTGGGGACAAAAATAGCCTCAGGGGTATGTTGGGAAAGTTCCAATTTAATTATGTTTTTGTAATAAAATATGATTTTAGTTCGTGAATTGCCATAATATCACCTCCATTGTTGGCGTAATTAAGGAAAAAGCCCACAGGGGCATTTTAGGAAAATGCTTTTATTATTTTTGTTTCCCGGTTTTAGACTATGAGTCAAACTCTTTTTCTTTTAGTATAAATATGCTACGTTATAGGTATTTAGAAAGAAGTTTTTCAGCAATAAAAGTTTTCTTTTCCACCAAGCAAAATAAAAAATCCCATCTTTTTCTTCCCCTGTTATCACCTGTTGCCAGCCATGTAGTTTTTTTTTCCTTTTTTTCTTCCTGCTCTATTTTGTTTTCTGTTCTTAGGCAACAAGGTTGCAGCAAGGTATCAGGTAGATACCTTACATCCATAACGTTCAGGTTCTTTGAGAATATCTTCTTTCAGTCGAGCTTCCATTCTCTCCACTCTTTCACAGTAAATTCCCTACATTAAACCACTTGACACTTGAGTATATTTAAATAATAAACATTAAAAATGAGAGAGGATTATTAGTATATACCGTATACTCGAGCATGTTTTTGTAGGGTCTTTCAACCTCACGAAGTAGAAAGGGCTTTCCATTAATGTAAATAACAGGTTCTTCTCTCATGTTGTGCCAAAAGACGGGTCTACCCAGGCCTCAAGAATGTTGTTGTAATGGGAAATTTATAAGGAAAAAGGTTCATTTGCATACTGTAAAAGCATGCAATCATAAAACATAAACTTCACAGAGACAAAAAAAAAAAGGTTCATTTGCATACTATAAAAGGTCCATTTTACTTCTCATGAATTGTATCGTATTTTTATTAGGAATCAAGTTTATTGATGTTAATGCAGATAGGCTTCCAAATTATTGAACCAAATTGTTATGTAAAAGCTCACTCTTGTAATTCCAAATTATTGAACCAAAAACAGAACAGCAAGAACTAATGAAGACAGGCTTCCACCAGAGCTGAAAAGTAAAAAAAAAACATAAAAAAAAATATGACCAGATCTTTATAAATGTAGTTGAATAAACAAAAATCAGAGGAATGATGCACAATATCACACTATAATTCCATTATTTATATAAAGCAAAGTCAGTCTAAGGCTTTTCAAAGCAAAATTAATGTTGGACTTATAAACATGAAGCACTCAATACTTGGTTTAGTGATGACATTATTGGAAAAAGAAGTACCTGAGCCTCCACTTGTTTGACCTGCATCCCATCTGTATGAAAAAAGCTAAACTTTATTTATATTCAACACAAACTATAATTCCATGTAAAAAGAATTCATTTAATTATGTGACAATCTGGCTTCAAGATGTTTTTGAGCAACAAAAGTTTGACCTAATTTACCTGGTGATTGGTTCCTCACGAAGTAGGTAGGAAAGAGATTGATACAATTTCTTGAGTATGACCAAAGACACACACTAAAAACATACACTTAAGGGATAATGCATGCCCTGAATCTACATAACAAATTAGTGTAAATGTTGTATGTGAAAAGGGGTTTGCTTAACCATTTCATAAGGGATTACTCAGTTATCATCTTAAGATTATGCGTTTTATTAAAATTTAAAAATAGTTATAGATTAGATGGTCTAACCTTTTCAAAGACACAAATGATTGTGCTTCCACCAAATGAGAAATATCCAAACTGTATATACATAAATAAATAGGAAGACGTGTGAATCTGAATTAGAAAGTGAACTAGGGTAGAAATGGAAATTTACATATATAGTTAAATAAAATATCGATATTCATTCACTTAATACAAACTGGGAGGAGCATCTTCTGCACAAAAAGAGCAAAGATGAGCCTCGCTTGTAATAAGTGAAGCAAAATGGTGTGTTACATGAAACGTACCTTGTTTTTTGCCAGCTACAAGGTAAAAAGACGAATTTGCCCCCACTAGCATAATGAAAAACTCCAGTATTGTATATACAATTTCGGCTTTTGTGAGTCCTATTTATTTAATTGCTGAATATGTAGCCGAAACTGCTGAAGCCTCGGCAATCAAAGCTGCGGGTAGTCGAGCCTGAAGGCAAGCACCAATGTCGAATGGACGCAATTCAGATCCATCAAATAGGAGATTGACACCTGGCAAGACAGTTTCTCCATTGTCCTTATCATTTGGGTCACCCTTTTCTTCTCAGCCTATCCAATCCCATCTTCTCCCCAAATCACTCGAAACCGTAACCCCTAATTCACTTATTCAACAGTGGGACTAATTTTGTATTTACGGGAAAATAGAGAGGAAGAAGATTAATACGAAAGTAAAATAAGCGCAATGTTGGGCCCCATTTCATCTGTTTGTATTTGTGGTTCACCATCTTCAGATATGAATCCCATTTCATCTGTTGTTGTCATAGAAACAAATCATTAAAAACATCAACAAAGATATATGAAATATTATAAAACCAATTGAATTCTTCTGGAATTAGGGTACTAATATTCTGATCATAGGAAAATAGTTCATCAATTTGACCAAATCAAGGTAGCCTCAATTTCGTGCTTCATATTTCATAAACCATCTCAGTAAGAAGAAAGTGATAATATTCAATTAAAAATGAAACAAGAACCAAAAAAAAGTTAAAAACAAAGAATGAAAGGGAGACGAAGGAGACAGTCCCAAATCTATTAGGTATAAACAGTTCTTTTTTTGTTGATTGGTTTAATTGAGGCAATCCATCAAACACTTGGTATGAATTTTGAATAAAGAGAAACCATGAGACAGCTATTTTCACTTACATACTTCCAACTTACAACCCACTCCATCAATAACAATCATGTTAGAATTCTTCATTGATGTTACATATGTTTAGGTTTGATTATGAACAGGATCACAGATGAATCAGTTTACCTGAGCTTTGTTGAGAAGCTGTCTCTAATTGGGGACCATTGATGCCTGATCCTTGTTTGTCTTGATCCACATTCTCGCTTCCATGCTGTAAATCATCTATCTTCTAGACTATGGTCTCGTCAGATTCATCATTTTCTAGGTAAACAATTCCATCTCCTTCTCCTTGCTTCCCTTTACCAACATCCTCACTTACTAGCGGTAAATCCTCTGTGACCTTATCTCCACCTGCGTCTGGTTCACCGCCCTAATTTATCGCGTTGTTCACATCACCTACTACATAATTCTCCAACACGACTTCCACCTTGATCATTGATTCAGAAGAAACAGCAGGATATGTAGTTGATACGCCATCAATTTTATTAGATTTTTTGCACCTTATAGCCGTCTTCAGAGGAGGCATGTCTGATTTGTATATGAGCCAACTTCAATGACTTGTTTGACGGGATGAGGGTTAGGGTTCTTGTAGCTATTAAAGGGGATTAAAGTACCGATCGATCAACACACACACACACACACAGAGATAAAGGAGGCATGTCTGATTTGGTAACTTTATGAAGATGACTATTGTTTAGGGCTATCAGTAGCACCGTCGACTCTGCTACCACACTGTAATAAACAAATCGCCTTAGAAGGCCCTTCATCATCTTGCACTGCCCTTACTTCCTCCAGTGACAATTTCGAACTCGACAGGGAGAGGCAATTAGTCGACTCAGCTCGCTGATGATGAAGGTTGCCGATGAGGAATGGAAATCGTTTTGAATTATAGGGTTTGTAAACGTGGGGAGTCGTTGTAGATGAAGTGGGGTAGAGGTGAAGAGGAGTGAGCGGGGTACTTCAAAATTTTGGGGGATTTTCCCCCTTTAGCTATTATATTAATGAAGGATCAGACTCTCATTCTTACAACACAGAATGAAGCCATCATAAAACCATGTTTCTGGTGGTGGCGGCTGCTAGGTTTTACAGAGAGAAGGAGGGGAGAAAATGAAGGTCATCGGCAAGTGGAGAGGAATGAATGAGCGGGTCCTCCAAAATTTTGGGGATTTTTGTCGATCGATCGTTTCCCGCCTAAAAGGCGTGTTTCATTAAAAATTTATAAAGCGACATACTTACATGACGAACATTTTATAAAAGGCGCCCTCCGCATTTCCTTTTTTTTCTTTTCTAACACTAATTTTAGGGCACGCACAAATGCGTGTCTTCTATCCTTCAAATTTTGCAAAACTGACACTATTTTTTAGGGCACCCACAAATGCGTGCCCTCTATCGGCGAGTGTCATTGTTTGCGCGTCATTAAAGGCCAGTTTTCTAGTAGTGTTTTCGTTTTTCATATAACATAAAAATCATTCAATATTCTCAAAATCTCAATTTTAACAAATATCATCATAATAAATACATATCCCAAGATCATAAAACAAATCTCCTGCTAGTGTGTAGGAATCATGCCGACCCATTCCCACGATCATCGCTAGTACCTGAAACACATAACACATAACACTGTAAGCAAAAATGCTTAGTGAGTTCCCCATAATACCACATATAACACATACGCCACTCATGGCCATAACTCTATGGGATCTTCCGATCCATGTGTCTCAGGAGACTTCCGTCCCAACTCTGGTAGACCTTCCGGCCCTACCCGTATGACCTTCCGGTCCTCATCATCTTGACCTTCCGGTCCATACAATATTGACCTTCCGATCCATATCATGGTACTCATAACATAGCATAACACATACATATCGCATAGCAACACATATCACATACTTCGCATAACATATAAGACCTTCCGGTCAAATATAGTTACCACTCTAGGTAAAGTATAGTGACATGACTCACCTCGTATGTTGTCTAGTAACTCACGTGCTTGGTATCCCGGAACCTCGTAACAATGACCTAGCCCTGCCTAAACATATAAGCAACCATCTCAACTCAATAACGGCTCTCCAGGCTAGACTAGTTTGTTCCAATGCTCTCTCAGAAGGCTAAAAGACCATTTTACCCTTCTAATGGTCCAAAATTCCAAGTGTTGACCCAACCCTAAAAGTCAACGAAAATCAACGATCAAATTTTGACCAGACTCGTCGGGTGCACATAGGTGACTTGGCGAGTCCAAGTGTGTACTCTAGATCTTTCTAAACCTCACTCAACTCGTCGAGTGAACCTTCCACTCGATGACTACATCCGGACATGAGTCGCGGGGCAACTCGTCGAGTCCCCTTATGGACTCGGCGAGTTTCTTCCATGATAATCACCAAATCAACCTTCTGAGGCCAGATCTGCTTCTCTAACCTATAGATCTGACCTTTCCATACCCACTAATCATGTAATGGTGAAACCTTTACACTCATGCAACACATATATGGTTCCTTTTGAAGAAATAGCCTCAAAAATGGTAACCTAAGTTCATTCCTTCCATATCACTTCATAAAGCAGGATGGATAAGGCTCTCTGTACCTCTATGCCGGAGTCTAACACATAAAGGGACCATAAACTCATCAATTCAAGCCATAAAAAGGGTATAGAAAACCCTAGATTCAAAAGTTCTAGTGTCAATACGAACGAATTGTAGGCTTTTAATCTTTTGGACTTTTAGTATAAGAGACAAAAGACCCACGAAACAAGCCTATATAGTAACAAATATATTTGTATGAGGCCCAACGTATATAGCCTTAAACTATTAACATACTTTTGGGCTTTTGGACAAATCAAAAGACCTACAAAACAAGCCTATTAAGATTAGTTATATATATATATATATATATAT